GGCTTTTTTTTTTCCTGGATACAATATTTTTCTTTTATCCAGAATCCCCGCCCATAACTGTATAATTTAAACAATGTTTTTCACTGTTACATTTTTCAGATTAAATAGTGTTGAAAGAAAGGGTGATATTTTAGTTGGGCATTTTAGAAGAGGGTAATGTGGAGAGGCTAATGTTGAGAAAATACCAGTGAAAGTACATCTCCGAAGAGGAGTCATTACACTGGTGAAGTTTGGAGGGAGAGCCAGGGCCCCTGCCTTGGGAATGAAATCCGAGGAAAGACTCTTCAGCAGACAGTTCACTTATTCCTGGCCCCATTTTATCTTGTCCAGTTTTCACTGCTCAGTGAGGAGTGTTGATTTCATTTTTCCCAAAGTGCTAGTAACCAGGAGTTGTTCCTCTGAAAGGTAATTGGCCAGAATGCCAATTGACCACGTATTCCCTCGGTCCAGGTTATCCTTAAGCACCTGGGAATCATTGTGCTGCCTCGCAAGGACCTTCTTGTTCTTGTTGAGAGGGCTCCTTTCTTAATTACTGGCATCTTCACCAAGGCCAATAAGGAAGTTCTGCATGTGGGCTAGGTGCCTCCACCAGAAGAGCAGCAGGTTTACCACCTTGTCCAAGTCCCCAATGAATAGCTTGTACTTGTCAAACTCACTGGGCTTGCAGAGCTCACTGATCAAAGTCTTCACCTCTTCTCCTAAGGCATTATTGAGCTTGATGGCTATTAGCAGACATTCCTTCTCTTTCTGGAGTGTCTCAAGGTTGTGGGTAAGGCTTCCCATCAGCGTGATCTTCTTCCTGTTGACATCTCCCTGCTCCTCTTCTTTATTCACTTCTTCTGGGGTATCTTTAATTATGTTAGAAGTTCCACTTTGGGAACAGACACACTGTAGTAGGCAGGACAGTTGACCAACAACTGCTTTCTTGTCTTCACCCCCTCTTGCTTTCATATCCTGGGCAGCAGACAGTTCTCTACACCACCTTCCTCTTTATCTGTTTAGCTACAGCAAGTTAACATTTTGAGGAAACAAATCTTCCATCAGACGCATAGCTGTCTTCATTCTGGGGTCTGAATCCAAAACGTCTGCCAGAGATTTGTCTTGGTGGACAACTTCTTTGTCCAGAGACTTTATTCTGTTGTCTTCTGAGGACCAGAAATGACACAAAAGAGAACTATTTTATTATTTATTTACTCTTTAAAGACATGTATATTTTTAATTATCAATCAGTTGCTTCCTGCACGCCCCTTTACTGAGGATCAAGCCCACACTTGGGCATGTGCCGCTAATGGAAATCAAACTGTGACCTCCTAGTTTATAGGTTGATACTCAGCCACTGAGTCATGCTGGCCAGACAGAGGAGGGCTATTTCAAAAGAAATTTTTTCATAAAGTAAAAACTTGTGGTGAGCGGTTCTGTTGAAGAGGAGTTCAAAGAACTGGATCTGGGCTATTCAGCTCTTGTGTGTGTGTGTGCGCGCGCACACACACACACACACACACACACTATCATCAAGCTAATAGACCCTTCTTTTTAAATTTTCTAAAAATATATTTTATTGATTTTTTACAGAGAGGAAGGGAGAAGGATAGAGAGTTAGAAACATCGATGAGAGAGAAACATGGATCAGCTGCCTCCTGCACACCCCCGACTGGGGATGTGCCCACAACCAAGGTACATGCCCTTGACCGGAATCGAACCTGGGACCCTTGAGTCCGCAGGCCGATGCTCTATCCAGTGAGCCAAACCAGCTAGGGCAATAGACCCTTCTTATAGCATAAAATCTTAAATTCTACAATAGTGATTACTATTTTAAAAATGCCCATGTGAAATACACCCTTTAGCAATAACCAAAAATATGGCTATAGTGATATTTATTCTAATATTATTTTCATCCAGAAAATAATTACTAGCTGGGAGGTAAGATTAGTTATACATTTAAAAAAATACTCTACTGCACACTATTTGTGCAATTACGTTTAGTTAACTTCATTATCACTTGAATACAGTGAACAGTTTCTAGCTGAAAGAACAACCATAGATAGGACTAAGATAGCAGCTGATGTCTCTTAAAGCAAGAGCTGCATGGTGATGTGAAGATGATGAATAGCACAAAAATGAAAAATTAGAAATCAGAGGTGCACATGAAATAAGAGGAAATGGAGTGCTGAAATTGTTTTCTAACTCCAAAACTGCACTGGATGATTAAGGGACCAATATTTAAACATGTTCCCTCCTTAACCAATTATAGAAGATAACCTCAGGTTATGGAAAACTATTTTCTATACTTCGCAAACAATGAGAACTTTCTAGATGTTTATAAAACATAAGGAACATTTAGAGTAATTCTGGCAGAGATGATAAATCACTTGGTAGGATGTTCCCTTTAGACCTTCTCTATGACTGTGTGATGGGGTGGGGAGCAGACAACAAGAATGAGAACATATGCGGGTGTATACTTTGACACAAATACATTAGGCATACATAGATATTTTTCTGTAAAAGTTCTGTACAACCCCCTTTTCATAAAAATATATATTTACATATGAAAACTTTTCATGTCAATAAAATACACTTCAACAACACAAATAACAACAATGTTCAAGGTTTTATAATTCCCACACTCAGAGATTCTGATTGAATATTCCTTTACAAGTGGGCTGGGATTCACATTTTGAGAAACAATGCTTTTGAGGGATTTCTCTTCCTCCCCTTATGGGAAGGAATAAAATTACACTCTATTTTTCATGCTTACCTTGACGTACTGGCTATTTCAGTGGAATATTTCTTGTCCATGACCTATCCAATAATTTCTTTGATGAGTAAATGTTGCACTAATTAAAGGACATGATAGAAGATTGGAGAAACCACCCAATTACTCAGATAACATTGGATAAATTAGAACCACAAAACATTATGTTCTTAAGAGCCCAGCACTCCAAGTCTCAGAATTTGCTATTCAGCTCCAGTACACAGCTACTACTGCCAATCTTCAAATGCTTTCAAAAGACTTTTTTTTTTCATGAAATGCCCCTTTCAAATATTGACAAGAAAGTAAGTAAACAATTATGCAGTTAAACAAAATATATTTGTGGGCCAGATCTAGGGACCTAGGACTTAGAGACCTAGACTTAAGGTCCACTGGTTTGAGAACTTTGTCTTAGTAATTAACTGTTCTGAAGCATGGAGTGTCAAAAATAAAACAAACTGTATTTTGTGATGTATTATCTGAGCTTCAAGGTGGGTAGAAGGGTTTACTAGGCAGGTGCCTAATGTGAGGAAATGGGCCTTTCAGGAAGCAAGAGAAACAAATACAATTACATTGCATCATGGAAAAAATCATAGTCTTCACGAGAATCTATACGAGGATTTAATACTGCCGAATCATAAAGTACGAGTGGTGAGGTGGGGGCAGAAGAGGATGAGATTAGGGAGATAATAATAGGAAGCCATGACCTTTGAGTATCCAACAATCAACGGAGAGCTAGCGATAAATGATAGTGATACGGAAATAGATTGGAGGGATTGAGATCAGAGGAAAGGTGGCCATTGGGACAGGTACCATAGTTCTGAAAAGAGATGATGAGGCCCTGACCGGTTTGGCTCAGGGGATAGAGCATCTGCCTGCGGACTCAAGGGTCCCAGGTTCGATTCCGGTCAAGGGCATGTACCTTGGTTGTGGGCACATCCCCAGTCGGGGGTGTGCAGGAGGCAGCTGATCCATGTTTCTCTCTCATCGATGTTTCTAACTCTCTATCCCTCTCCCTTCCTCTCTGTAAAAAATCAATAAAATATATTTTAAAAAAATAAAAAAAGAGATGATGAGGACTTGAAATAAGGCAATGAAAGTGAGTCTGGAGAGGATGGCATACCTAAAATAAACTTTGCACAGATGCACCAGGACACATACACATCAACAGAAATGGATGGGGTATTATACAGCACTGACAATGAATAAACTACAGTTACATGGTAATCTCAGGAACAAAATGTTGAGTGAAAGAATCAAGTCCCAAAATGCTATATAGAAAAGATATACATTTTCGTGAAATTTGAGAACAATAAAAGCTAAACAATATTGTTTAGGCACATAGCCATGTGATAAGAATATATGTAAAGAGAAGACAGACATAATAGATATAAATCAAGATATTGGTTTCTCTGGGAGGGAAATTTGGGAAAAGATGGTGAGTCGGATATTTAAATTATCAGCAATATTCTAGTTCTTTGGTTGGGTACTGGATTCACAGGTTTTTAATTTAGATGGGTAATTTGATAGACATGCCATTGTTCATGGGGACATAATATGTCATGACCAAGGACGCTGCTTATTTCTGTACTCCGTACTGATGTTTTCCACTGGACCCCTGCCTTGTCTGCCCGTGTTAAGCTAACTCCTCTCACTGACAGAAGATGTATTTTAGAGATATTTTGGGGATGGAATCAATTGTTTTTACTAGATATTATTTTCCCCCTTGAATTGGTTGTAGATGACTCGTGAGGCCCAGGTACTTTCACATCCCTCTCTTTTTGCCCTTTGCCCTTGGTCATCTTAGCTTCTCCACAGAAGGGAGAAGTGTGACGCCAAGCAGTGGAGAGAGGGAAGAAGCGGCCAGCGGGTCTAACGCGTTTTCATTGGCAGAGAGGAGCTAGTAGATTCTAGAACGAGGCAGAAGCTGAAGCGAGAGAAAGAGGGGCAAAGGGGCGGGGCTTAGAGGGAGGCGGGGCTAAGGGGGTTAAGGGGAGCGTGCGATTGTCCGCGCTTCACTGCGTTGGCGGCGCCTAGCGCAGTCACACCGTCGGTGGCAGAGTCTTCCCCTGAGGAAGCTACCTTCTCTGCCACCTCCCCCCCCCCTCCTCCCCCCCCCCTCCTCCTACACCGCCTGCGCGGCGGCGGCGGCGGCAGTGATTGAGTCTGCCTCCTCGCCACCTCCACCCCTGCCAGCTCGCCTGCAGGTGGCTGTGGCGACAGCGGCAGCGGAGGCTTTGGCGGCTCCACTATGGCGGCGGCGGGGAGGGGGGACAGTAGTTTTAAAGTAGACACCCGCCCTTGCCTCAGAGAAGGTGAGTTCCCGTGCCGGGGTTTGGGGGCGGCCCCATCTCCTTCGCTGCCTCTCTTCAGCCTGTCCAAGATCTGAGGGGCGCGGTTCGCCACCGCCCGACCCCCCACCTGCTGTGGCGCAGTAAGAGGCCAAGCTCCTCCCGCCCCGCCTCGATGAAGTAGCCCCGAGTGTACAAGACGGACTGAAGCAGAGAGTGGGTTCCCTAATTCTCCCCCTACCCCGAAAAGAATGGGGCTCCCAGGAAAAGGAACCTCAGGTATTCATTCACAAGGCAGGAGTTTGAAGGGGGAAAAAAGCCCGTAATTTTTCTTCCAGTCAGGCCACCTCAGTATGCTGTAGGAAGCTGAGACGTGATTTGGTAAAAGATAGGAGACAAGGTAGACAAGCGCTGTGGAACTATAGGATCAGGGAAAGGGAAGAGAGACTGACGGATGAGAAAGGGGGCAGAGATCAGAAGAGTAAAGGTCAAAGAAATCAGAGAGAAGAAACCCCCCTTTGGTGAGATTCAGCATCCTGAAGGGCAGATACTTGCAGTGGGATATTAAAGAAGAGATGAGTTTAGGAATTTGGGGTTGTTAGCGTGTATACTTTAGCTTTCAGGTAGGATCTGTTTGATTTTAGAATCCTAGGGTCTGGTGGAGGAGGGAGTTGTATTGAGGAAAGGAGAGGAAGAGAGTGTGGCAGAAACACCGATTTTCAGGAATCACTTTGGAGAGTTTTCTTTGGCTCTTTGAGGACGAAACCTTGTACATACAGCAAGGTTTGTGGGCCCATCTTTAAGGTGGTTTTGGTTTTAATAAGTGCTATTGTACCTACAACACATTCCTAACAGAAAAAAAATTATTTCTTGACTATTTCAGTATATGGTATTTAGTTCACACAAGTACTATATACTTGTAAGCAGCCTGCTAGTAGCAAACTGTAAAGTTTGCCATTGTGTTTTAAAGCATCTTTTGGAAATGTTTCTTAGGTGGTTAAAATAGATTCCAACTGGAGACCTCTAAAGTATTTTGCCAACGTAAACTTTGTATTAATTTTCATTATTTTCGCTGTGTTACCTTATGTTGCTAACTTGACTCCAAAGTGAAAGGTCATGGACTCCAAAATAGAGTAGAATAATGTAAGTTCCTTTTCTTAGGAGCACACCCCATTAAAGTTGCCCCATAAAATGATTTTCCTCGTCACATTCTTTTTTTAAAAAATATATTTTATTGATTTTCCACAGAGAGGAAGGGAGAGGGATAGAGAGTTAGAAACATCCATGAGAGAGAAACATCAATCAGCTGCCTCCTGCACACCCCCTACTGAGGATGTGTCAGCAACCAAGGTACATGCCCTTGACCGGAATCAAACCTGGGACCCTTGAGTGCGCAGGCCGTTGCTCTATCCACTGAGCCAAACCAGTCAGGGCTTCACATTCTTAAATGACACATCCCTGTGTGCTATTCCATATCCGTTCACACCTTTCACTTTGGAGGAAAAGCAAAGCAGTAAAAAAATTTACAATATTTCTCATAGGTTCATTACATACATACCACTTATTAGAAATTAGAAATACACTATGATATGATGTTTTTATTTATTAACACACTTACTGAAGGCAACCTTTGAAACCCTTCGTTTAATGTCTTCAGTCAGCCTGGATTTGTACAGTTGTTCTGGGATGAAGATATGAAATCTCCTGGAATTTTGTTTTTATACCAAACTTTCTCTCTGTAACCAACAAGGAGGAGAAAACAGTGTTATAGGTGGTCATGACCACAATTCAGTTTGGCTCTCATAACTTTTGCATAGTAAGGTTTAGAACTAGTATTTCATGGAGAAAATGGCTTTTTCCTGGCTTGGTTGCAATGTCTTTTAATATATGCAGGTATTAACAGCTTTAAGAGATAAAATTCATAAAGTAGCTGCAATACCATGTCTATAGTATTGCTAGCTGGTAAAATGAGGAGAGCCCTAGTGTATGAGTCTGGTGTAGTGACCATAGGTTCTGTTGTTAATCTACTAAATTTTGTTGCCCTGAACAGATCCCAAGTTTCCTGGATTTGAGTTTTGACGTTTCTGAAGTACAGGTTTTGGACTAGCCAGAGTCTGAGGTTGTTTTCAGATCTGAACATATGAACCTTGATTTTGCAGTTCTATATTAATATTCTTTCAATGGCATTTCCATGGCTGTGCACTAGAAACCCATAAGAAACCTTGCCCAAATAGTATCACTTGATATTCAGTGAGTAATAAAATCTGTGTTGTTAGTGTTGAGACAATTTACTAGGATATGAAAATCCAAATATAATTGCTACCCCAAAACTATCATTTCATTATAGGTAAATATCCTTCATTAACTTCAGTCCAAATAAAACTCCCTTACCTTTTCATATAGTACACTATCTAAAACACTATTAGTTCTCAAAATATTTTTGTTTAGATGTTTATAAAGGCCATAAATGATTGTCATTTATGATAGTAGATAAAGGAGAAGAGAGAAAAATGTTGTTTGGTAGTGTGCCAATATCTTGTGTTTGTTTCTTAAGTCCTAGTTAGGAGATTCTCTTAAAGGTGGCAAAGAATTGTCAAGATTTCAATTATTACAAGTCTACTCCAAATAGGACCATTAAAAGTGTCTTGCTATAAACTATTTGCTGATCCATTTTCAATGATAGCTAACATTCCTGAGGATCTCATCTGTCTTGGTTTGGTAATGAACAAATGTCAGTGGAGATTAGAAATTGCAAAGCAGGGAAGATTAGAAGCTTTCAAAGGTTCCAAAGAGGAAGGCAATCAGCCTAAAAACAAAAACAACAAACAAAAGTGCCCACTGAACAGACATATGAAAAAACATATACCCAGAATCCATGGTAAAGGGAGTAATGAGATTTTGTAGGGCACTTCATGTTTCAGTCACTGAAGTTTTTAAAAATAAACATGTTCAATGGCTCAAAAATGAATTTTCAACCAGTATTGATATCCATGATGTAATCATAGTAAAAATCAAAACAAAATTAAACAAAAACTCTCTTTAAGAAAAATAAATTATTAAATGGATTCTGTTTTAGACTGGAGGGCATTCTGGATTTTTATTTAGTTACTAATTCATTTGCATAGCAATTACCCAGCAAGGCTTCCTTTTGTCTCTATATTATTCAGTAAAGTTTCAGGTTCACCATAAGAAACCTAGTTAATAGCCTTTCCATTATTCATTCGGGAATCATTTATTGAACACCTGTGTGTGTGTTGTGTGTGTGTGTGTATGTGTGTGTGTGTACAAGTGAGCGCATGCCACACATTGCTGAGGATATACAGATGAATTAGACAGTTATATTAAAGAGCTTGATAGTAAAATTATAAAATGAATAAGATCACTGGGGAAATGCAATCTAACTAGTCAGACTCCTAAACTATAGGACCTTTCCATTTTTTATTATAAATCTGTACTCTTCCCATGGTGGTTTATCTATATATATAAAAGGCTAATATGCAAAGTGTCTCCTTAGGAGTTCAACTGGGAAACCGGGAGTTTGATCACTTGCTATGATGTGTGCTGACCACTAGAGGGCGGCACGGAATGAAGGAAGGCCGGTGCAGGCAGCTGGAAGGCCCTGATTGGCCCTGATCGCTGGCCAGGCCTAGGGACCCTACCTGTGCATGAATTTCATGCACCAGGCCTCTATAAACACAATGAAACACATTATATTGTTAATCTAATGTTGGCATCTAGGAAGAGTAATTAGAAAATCGTTAGAATTAATTTTTAATCCTCTGCATTTGACATGGTAGGGATGTCTGGAGAAAGGTTAATTACCATTTGTTAGTTTCTGACCCTCTGTCTTTATTAGGTGTCAATATGTGAAGATATTGACTAAACATGTCCACTACTGTATTCATCACCTGTCTGTTAGGATCATTTTCTACCTGAAACCAGTCTTGCAGATCCATTCACATTTACTAACCTGTTGGAATGAATGGCATGGTGGCTTTCTCATGCAAAAAGCTGTCATGGGATCAAGTAAATTAATGGATTTAAATAGTACTTAAACTCAGCTTTTCACAATCATGTCTTCTGAACTAGCTAGCCACAGAGTGCTTATGATTATAGAATTCAACTTAGTAAACATTAAACATATAACTAGTATTCACAATTAATTTTGTTAACTTCATTGTATTTTGTAACTGTTAATATGACATGGGAAAACCTTTACCAAAACTTGCCAAACTCATATGTCATACTTATCTTCTAGCCTGAGAAAATAAGGATACTAGATAGCGTTACAGTAAGAGTGTTCAACAGGTCTTTATTTCTGGCAAAGTTAATATCTCTGAAAACTCCTGAAATGGGGTGTGGACTTTAGGGAAAAAGAGAGTTAAAACATCTTGGCAAGGATAGCACAGGCACTTTCCCAGTCTCCTATAACTTAGTGTTGAGCTCTGCTCATTCATTCTTAAAATTATGATGGTATTAAAAGATTGCAAATGTCAAGTCAGCTATTTTTAAAAATCATTTTTTTATCAAAAATATTTGAGGAAGGTTATCTCTAAAAGTGAAATCAAGGAGACTATAGAGCACATATGCTCTTTGCAGAATTAATATGATTATTTCTCAGATTTCTTAATGCCTGGCTTTAAACCTGTGACTAAGAATGAGATTTGTTTATAGTATTACAGCCAACCCTTCTGAGGTTTGCTCAATTCTTGTCACCATATTAAAATAGGATATGCAGAGTTCTTTACAATGTTCTATATTTATAACTATATCTATATTATGTGTATGTATATGTATATTATTTATGTTTATGTTTAGCTTCAAGATCAGTTGGACTGTGAAATTCCCACTTCAACAAAGCATTAAAATAATTAATAGCTTCCCTGGCCAGGTGACTCAGTTGGTTGGAGTATCGTACCCTGCACCAGAAAGTTGTGTGTGTTTGATTCCTGGTCAGAGCACATACCTAGGTTTTGGGTTTGCTCCCTGATTGGAGTGTGTCCAGGAGGCAACCAATTGATATT